GGGAGCTGCGCTCCCCGCCATACGGAACGAGAACGGAGTGCGTATTTGGTGTAGAAGATATGCAGAACGACAGGAATGTCCCTTCCTCCTCAGTGAACGGCTCTATCCTTTGTCCATTGGTTAAGCTGGAGGCATCAGTCCAGGTCTTGGAGAGTCAATACGACCGCTCTCAGCGTAGAATACCTCAGCCTTCTTCTCGCTGAAATTACCTTGTAGGTCGATAACCGCACCCGTGTCATTCTAAAAGTTGCGCTGAACCCTCTAATGGTATGTAAGGAAAAGGAATCTCGATGCGAATGGATACTAGTCTCGTTGAGCTTGAATCAATAATCAATGCCTTAAAAGTATGGGTGAAAGCCAGTGTGATCCACATGTCGGTTAGAATTCCATTAATCCTCGTGGTATCTTGTCAGTTGAGAGACGCTAGGTACCGCTCCTAAAGTGGAGCGTATGACTCATTCTCTGTGAAGCTATTTCTGTGCATAGTGCACGGCTACCTCTTTGCACATTAGCCATCCTTAAAAAATTCTCATGACTGGATAATATTGATAAGAATCTATCAGATTATGATAGTCCGCTCCGCAGAGGTGCTGTCAATTACTTCTCTCTCGCTTACAGAAGTTTACGTAAAATAAAACTGATAAAAGCCTGTAGTTTTTTATTATGTCGATCCCATTAACACAATTATAATAACAATCTTTGGAGCTGTCATATAATATGCACGTCAGGTATCTACCAATCATCTTGTTGGGAATTGTGTGCGCCATTGAAACGGCGGTTCAATATTCGAGCCATGATGCTGGGCGTGAAGGAAAGTGTGAGCGGCAAGCTGTACCGGTTGACAGCAGATGGTGCAGAGGAACGTGTGTGCGGTGGCAAGGGTGCTGTCTACTTGAGCGGGCCTAAGGTTGCGCTACGCTGCTGCGGTAAGACGAGCATTGTAGCTACACGTCAAGCAAAGCAGAGCGTCTTACGTCAAGGCGATGTGCTGCTGCTTGGGCTGCGCGACACCTTTTACGCAAACGGAACACTGACTAAGTATGAAGTAGTGGATGCAAATGCAGCACCATCCAAGCTGGCACTGCACGTGCTACCCACGCGTGTGCCGAGCATTACCATGAGTTCAGCGGCCTCCAATATTGTGAAACCCAAAGCGAAGCGTGCTGCAAACCCAAAACACGTTTCGTCGTATTTTTACGGGATGAATGACTATCGTAGTCGAAAGTTCAACGAAAAGAAGGACCATGTCGACGAAGTAATAGCCTTAGCAGAAGACGCTGACGAAGAAGAGGATGAAATAGTGCCATCTACGAGACGACGTTCAAATCGTACTAGAGCAATTGTTGAGTCTGACGATGAGACAGAGACGAGCAGGTTCACGGCGCAAGAGTCATCGGGATGGGCGCCTCAGGATCAAAAAGTATATGAAAAGGATTCAGGACACTCGACGTCTGCTGCAACCGATTGGATGGCCGCTTTTGGACGTTATGGTGTTAAGAAATGCAAGTCAGATTCTAGTGGAACATTGTCAGATGGATGGAAACGGAGGCGAACGGATGGAAAACATACAACGAAATCCAGCACGTGCAGGATGCCCCTGTACCAAGATATCAATGAAGAGCTTGACGAATTGGACGAGGATGAGCATTTCTCGCGTTCTCATGATGAAGTTGGGCAACTCTTAGAAGAATGTGAAAGAATTGCACGGAAATTGCGGTTGTCAGTGAAGGCTTGGTCGGGCAATTCGATAAAATCGACAAATTCCAGTCCATCGACGTCTCCTGGAGATGCAACGGACGAAGAGGAGGCTTTTCACATGTCGTTGGCGTCAATTAAAGGATCAGACCGTCGTGTCGTTTCTCAAACAGATATTCCCAACATCTCAAAATCTCTCAAGTTAAAGCCCTATCAAGTCGTTGGTGTCAACTGGTTATTGTTGCTTTACGAAAACAAAGTTTCCGGTGTATTGGCCGATGAAATGGGACTGGGTAAAACTGTGCAAACGATTGCGTTTTTATTGCTGCTCAAGTCAATGAAGACGAGCAACGTAGGACCCCATTTGATTGTAGTACCAGCAAGTGTGCTTAATAATTGGAACCGAGAGTTTGCGTGGATTGCACCGACTCTGCGTATTGTCACATATCATTGCGTAAAGACTAATCGGCGTGAACTAGAAACCACGATCAAGAGCGACGATTTTGACGTCATGTTGACAACGTACTCGTACTTTGAGCGTGACTCCTGTCAGGAGGAGCGTGCCTTCCTTCGGAGCTTTAACTTCGAATACATAATCCTCGACGAAGGTCACAGTATCAAAAACTCGAATACGTCCCGATTTAAGCGAATGACAGCATTGCGGACGCGTACCCGATTGTTGTTAAGCGGGACACCAATCCAAAATAAGCTAAATGAGTTGCTGACCATGCTGAGTTTCCTCATGCCACGCATGTTTGACCACGGCTCAGATGAACTCTTGACATTTTTTGATGGAAGCGAAGAGAAGAAATGTGAAAAGGTGCGAAAGATCTTGGCTCCATTTATTCTCCGACGAGAGAAAAAATATGTCTTAAGTCAGCTCGTGCCAAAGACGGTGGCCGTCAAGCTCATTAAGGTTGGAGACGAGCAACGAAAGGCGTATACCAACTTACTGGATGCTGTGGTCAAGCGTCACGAGGCTCGTGCTGCTTTCAAAGCGGCAGCAATAGAGCAAAAGAAGAACAAAAGTAAGGACAACAGAGCAATTCGTCAACTTCGTGACTTGACGAACTCGTATGTTGCGAAAGCTAACAAGGAGCAGAGTACTATATCCATTTTTACGCAATTGAGGAAAGCTGCAAATCACCCTGTATTGCTGCGTCAACATTTTGTGTCAGACAATGTGCTGGATACTATGAGTCGTTGTCTGCATCAAGCTCAAGCATTTGGCAATCAATGCTCGATGGATCGAGTCCGACAAGAGCTCGAGTCCTACAGTGATTTCGAGCTGCACGACTTGTGCGTACAGTATGCAGCAATCGATGACCTGCGCCGGCTCCAATTACCGATGGAGACTCTACTTGCGTCAGCGAAGTTTGACTTTTTGCGATCATTGCTTCCGCAGCTTCATAAAAATGATCATCGTGTCCTGATTTTCTCGCAGTGGACAAAACTTCTTGACTTACTGGAGATATTGATGGGGCACATGAAATACCGGTATCTGCGATTGGATGGATCTACTAACATTCAGGAACGGCAAGGACTCATTGATACGTTCAATAGAGACAAGGACATCTTTGTCTTTTTGCTATCTACTCGCGCTGGCGGTCTCGGTATAAATTTGACATCGGCAGATACAGTCATATTGCACGATTTGGACTTCAATCCAACTTCTGATGAGCAGGCATGTGATCGATGTCACCGAATTGGCCAAACCAAACCTGTGTCCATCTACAAGCTGGTGTCAGAGGGCACAGTTGACGAAGATATTTACAAACTCGGCGCATCCAAGACAGAATTGAATCACAAGATATTGGACAAGCTTAACGCGAACACTGGTGGTAAAAAGAAGACCAAGAATTTGGACACATTAACTGTCGAAATGTTGTTGGCGTCAGTCATTTCTGACTATAAGAGCGCACAGTTAGAAGCGAACCATGAGTGAATTTAATAAATAAATTAATTGTCGCTAATAGGTGCGTAGCGGCGATTTGAAAATACACTTGGATGAATTTACACGCATTGGATTCTGCAAAAATTATTGTTGAGTCAATCTTGGATTGTTACATCAAAACTGTTTGAAAAAAGAATCAGTACAAAGTATCAAGGTGTTATGGATTAACTTACCGAGCAACTAACCTATTCCGGCCGAAAATTTTTCGTGTCAGGAACAAACTGAAAACGAGAAATGTTAGTTCTTTATCAGGTATGATAGAGTTATTAATACGTACAATGCTGTTGCTCTCGCGGCGAGCCATTTCGTCTTCAGATTCCTCGGTTAATGGCGAAAAATGTTGGTAGCTCATATGAGATCGAGGCATATCATCACTGAACGTGTCATCGTACTCATAATCATCTTCGTCTTCGTCTTCCAAATCATTAATTGATCCCAATCGATGACTTAACAACTCGGTTGTCTGCCGTATATGTTCAACCATGGCTAAGATGTCAGCTAGGGTTGCTGGACCCGAATCCTGTGGTGAATCTGTACGTCCATAATCAAGAGTTCGGCGATGACCAGTTGTTTCGTTAAAACTTGACCCTCTTCGTGAAGGTCCCGAATTTGCGCGATGCATCGTTAGTATTGACCGCTTGTAGGACGAAGTGTGGGTGCTCAAAGATTTAATTAGACCAGAAATCTGCGCAAAATCACGAGTGCTATCTCCACCGTATGATGACTCCAAAGGCAATTTGACTTGTAAGTCTTCATGTTTAAGAGGACGTATCCGACTTTGTCTAGAATTTACAACACGAGACAGGCGGTGCACAGGCTTAGACGCACGATCAGCAATATCTTTGAGTTTGTCCCCAAGTTTCTTGGCGCGATAAATAGTACGTAATGATAACGACATTCTCCTCTGCTTGAGTGATTTTTCCACGACCAAAGTAAGTTGAGTATGCGCCTTTGCTTTTTCGATCGGAGATTGTATGTTCATGTTATCAAGTTGTCGTTTAATCACTGTTCGCTTCATGCGTTCTCCAAACTCAGGATACTCTGCCGCGATTTCGTCAAATGCATGTTTGCTTAATACATTTAGATCGCAAATATTGACAGCTCGCACAGTATTGGTTCGACGCACGTCAATCACAAGTGCTGTTTCTCCAAAAAAGTTTCCGTCACGCAGATATATTCGTTTTTCTGAGTTTTCGGGATCTGGAATCAAAATTTCCACGAGCCCCTTGCGAACAATGAACATTTCTTTTCCAATATCATCACAGTAAATGATCGTATCACCTGGCAGATAAACTGCAGTTTCCAAAGCAAGACACACTTTGCCCAAAAATCGTGAATCAGATCCAGCAAAAAATGGCACGGTCTTTAGCAAGTCTTTGTACAGGTGCAACGCGATAGTCGTTTTAAGCGGTTTTGAAATGCCGGGCTGGTTAAGTAGCATCATGTCTGAATATGCGCGTTGCTATTGAAAGTATAAGAAATATATGAGAATAGGAGACCGATTGAGTTCCAAAACTACTTACATTTATCCACAAATAATCGTAGTTTCTTCGAACACGATGTTGCAGCTCTTCCGGCAGCTCATAATATTTCATCTCAGCTTTAATCATGTCCATCCGATTTCTATATTGAGCTTTTTGCTGGTCCCAACTCATAAGAAGAGCAAGAACATTGCCGAAGAGAAAAGAAGAGAATATAGTTCCAAGCATAAACACGGCGAGGCTCATGTAGTAGAGCTCGATTGTCGCTTCAGTCTCAGGATTCTTTAATTTCGCAATGCTCGCATATTGCGTACTTTCGCCAATTCCCAAAAACATAAGCATGATGATGTGAACACATTGAGTGTATAAAGGTGCAAACTAGAAGTCACCAAAAATGACAAATATCAAATCAACACCTTTGAAGATAAATTTCAGAAAGCAAACCTCGTCTTCAGTGCAAACTACTTCACCGCGAGAATTCGTACACTCATTGAACAAACTAACCCATAAGCAGGCAAAAAGGTGCAACCCCATGGCCAGACCCAGAAAACTGACAATGAGATTGTAATACTTGGCGTACTCGCGAAGATACTTCAGTAATCGACCGATTCGAAGCAGCTTTGGAATTTTCTGTAACTTAACGATTTTCAAAGATTTACCCGACGATTGTACAAACAGCACCAATGGAAAATTGGAGATAAGATCAACTATGAACCATGAGTGCAAGTACTTGTGCGCTACTTTTTTGGGATCCATGACCACCTCACCATTAGACACAATACCCGTTCGTAATGTCATCACCATATCTATTTAGCAAGATAAAAATGATGTGATAATTCTCTGACTTAGTGTCAAATGTAAAGCAATGCCCACCTGTGACGAAATAGACATCAATAAATATGTTCATGCCGTTCAAATGAGTCCAATCGTAAAATTGAAACCCAATAATGAGCGGAATCTTTTGGCATGTAGAAATTCGTGAGCAACTTGTTTGATAAAACCCATCCATTATACGCACCATTACGCAGACATATAGAACCAAACACGCAGTCATTATTTCCCATGCTCTACGCAATTTTGAATTCGGGTGGATCATAAAGCGACTGGTGTTAAGCTTCCGGTCGTGGTAAATGTCGATTGAATGAGCGTTCATCGACTTTGCTAGTACTGCTAACGATCCCACTACCTTCCAGCTGTAAGTCTTGACGGCCTCATCTGTCGAATCAGTCACTTTGATCGTGTTGATCTCTACACCATCGGCTTGTTTTGATTCATCTTGAGTCTCTTCATTCGTTTCTACACCAACTTCATTGCCTTCAGAGTGAGGCAGTCGCTTTTCTGGATGCAAAGATTCCAAGCCACCACTTGATTCCATCGTTGGGGTTGAAAAGGCGACTTGATCAGTTTCTTGTGTAATTACTGGTGACACAAGCTTCGCCAGTAGTGCAGTCTCTTGTTCCGATAAAACTATTGCTTCGTCATTGACCGAAGTTTTTGACATCGTCTCATTCTCTGGTACCACACGACTACAGGGGCATGTTTCGCTGTTCGGACCTTTCATACTAACCATGTTGTACTCACGACAGTGCCCTAGCCTGATGATTAGGTACTTGAACAGACAGCATTTTGTCGTTTTCGCGACCACAAATAGGAATGTGTTTGAAACGAATACTTTTTTAGCAGATACGAGCAGAAAAATTCCTGAAATAATTGTTTGAAAAACAACACCATGAGAAAAAGCCATCCCAACGAATGTAGATTTTCCAGACGCTTATGTGATTTGTTTCCTCTGCGTAGAGCTCGATATGAAGACGTAAGCGGTTTTATATCATTTCTGTTTCCTAGATGTAGAATGAAGAACAGTCTGCTTACTCTCCGTCACGGATATGGAAACACTCAATAAATACCATTCAGAATTTTTTTTCTTTAAATAACAAATTTATATAGTGCTTACTTACTGACAAGGCGCCACTACTCGTACTATAATTTCTTTTCTGTAATAAATGTCAAGTATCTACAGTAAACATTCAAACCACTTGACAGGCATTTTCGCGGAATTAAATAGACCATCTCCATAGTAGAATGTGGTATCGGCGTGATTGAGCTGTGATACGTAAAATTGGTCTTTGAAATGAGTTCCAAATTTTTCAAGTGGAAAACCTCCTGCACAGCTTTGAAACTCGACCATCCCATCGTTTTTTTCGGATTGATGCGGAAGCGCAGCCCCAAGCAACCAATACTTGGGCTGGTAAAGTGAAAAGAGTCCACTGTACGAGTTGCTACAAACAGCTGCGTGAACGCGAGTTCGATAGACTTGTTGAGCTGCCTTATAATCGGCGATCAAGCTCAGAGGTACTGTCTTCCCGCCTTCATACAAGAGTGACTTTGCAGATGCGAGTACAGGACATTGGCCAGTGACGTTTCCGATCATTTCCATCAAAACAGAGTGTTTACCATCACAGCCCTCCAACGCATAGTCCGAACCCATACTTCCTGCCATCGGAGCGCTCAAGGCAATCCACGAACTGCTGTTTGCAAAAGCACACCTTCTATTTGCGATGGCTCCTGCAAACATGAGTCCACCCATGGAATGCGTAATAATAATTGTGTCTGCAATTTCGCTCGATGAACCCGACCCGGTCACATTAGTTGCAAGGTCACACAGAATCTGCTGCTGAGTAATATTATTCCAGCCAGTATTCATCGAGTTCCAGATCATGTACTTAAAGTATGTACAGCATGGAGCATGATCGGTCATGTTACCCCAGTACATGTCGAACGAGTCCTGCAGCTCTTCCTCCTCAAAGTCAATACCAAGACCGTGGATGAAGAGACATGGGCGTGGCTTTGACTTGCACGAGCATTTTGTGTCAGTTATAGCAAGGCTGAAGCCATTTAAAACGCGCATTTCTGTGTCAGGAATCCTATCACCAGTCAGCAACGCAATTGCCATGTCACTTACTGCCGTAGCATTCACAGCAACATCACACTTGAAGTTTAAAGCTTCGACTGGCGGTGTTGGAACAGGAACACGGTCTTTTAAGTATGTGATCACGATTTCCATGTCACTACCGTAAATATGAAGACCTAAGGAGCTAGAGGCACAAATCGCTAGATCGAGGCCATTCAGCTTTGTCATCAACAATGTTCCTGATAAACACTTGATGTTCGCACCATTTAAAGACGCTTTGACAACTGGAACAGCGTCGTTGAGTGCAGCTAGCATATCCATAAATGGAGGTATTGTCCTTGGATTCACACATCTTGGTGTTGCTTGAGTTTGTGATGTTGTTGTCGCATAAACGATTCCGTCAAATAGCATATATCGAGTACGATTCAAGCCATCGCTCACGTCCATGTATCCATCATACTTGACGCTAAGTCCATCCCTCGATACCGTCGGGCTAGCAAACACTATAAACTCGGAGTCATCATGTATTCGCATTGACTTGCGCTTTATCATAAAATGGAGCTTTAACGACGGCCAGTCATTTGTCCGGACGTCATTTTGAATAGACTCAGTGTTTGTCTGAAATTTAAATGCTGTCACCCATGTCGAGAGGATATGTACTACGCAGACGACTGCAATGCACCAAAATAGGTACGCGGACGACTGCATTATTGATGTCCAAACCTAGTAAGCCACTGATTGGCAAATTGTGGACTAGATACATGTATTGTCCAACAGACATAGATACGGAGCTAATATCTGAGTAAGAACGTGACAAAAATGAGATTAAAGACCGACGACAGAATTTTACTTGGTGGAGGATCTGCTAAAGTAGAGAAGGCATAAAGTATGATTTGAAACATACCGTACGCCTCATGGCGTTAAACAACGGATCACAAAACGATCTCAGTAAACGACACAGCAGTTTAAAAATGAATCGAAGATTGGCACGAGAAATGGCGATGGCTCCCGCTCTCATGGCAAGCAAGCGCTCGTGGAAAGGTCGCTAGGAGGATACTAAAGCACACGTCCATCACGACGATGCTAAGAACAAGGTGAGATATACTATGACCTTATTCTACTTTTGATTGTCTTTCACCAACCGAGAGGATTATCGCATCCCTGTAGTACCTCGTTAATGTCCTGATTCTCGCCGGTGAACTTTTTCATATTTTCCATCTGACGCAGAAAGTACTAGAAGCGAGAACCGAACTCAGACGGTAAGGATTCTGGCATTAGGTTTATGTCTTTTTTTAGTACTCTACAGCATTAGTGCATTACAGTCAGAATGGCACTAATATAACAAAAACAAAAAAACAGTTTTGGTGTAACATACCACAAAGCGGCAAGGAAAATTATCAATTGTGTTGCTTACGTCCTGCGCGTTGCAGCCCCGGTATTTCTACGACCAAGAGGACGCAGCAATTTACTGGTGCAGCAGAAGGCAGCGACTGCTAGAGTGCGTCCAGCAAGTTGCGAAGTGTGACCTGTCAAAGTGCCAAAAGACGCACCAAATATAAGCAGCAGGCGCTGAATGGATTCTTAGGCACTAAATTGCTGTTTGCTACCAATCAGCCAAAAGGCTACTCAGTGATTGAGTTGGTGCTATAATTTAAGTGACCTACGCCCATTATGCACTAGAAAGATGAAAGTAGTGTTTCGCTCACAAGCAAATAACTTCATGGAGGGATATTTAGAAGAACTAGCTTCAGCTTCATGTATCAAAAGTCGAGTATCACATACGAAACTCGTCAGTAAGTCGCAACAGAGTTTTTGAAATCTTGCATCACAAATACACTTTACTGTCGATTTAGCTCCTGGCTAGTGTGCCATGAGCTCATGATGATCTTCACGAACGAAGACGCCCGGTATTCAATCTAAGCGATTCCAAACCGACATCTGTTATTGTGAATATCGAGAAGAAAAGACAGTAAATTGATCGCGGCATTTGCGCGGCCACCTGAATAGAGCATTACGTAGACGAGAGACTTAGGGCTCAACTCATGGATGATTCGAGAACCTCGAGGCAAAACAACTTCGAAACGTAGTGTCAATAAAATAAACCCTTCGTAAAATAATACCGCGACTATTAAATATGAGAAGAATTAGTGAGGTATAACGGGATACGAACTGAGCGACTGTGTGCGTACACCTTACACTTCCGTACGATTATTCGACGTTGACATTCAGACGACCAAGATATTGGTGCTTGAAGAAAAAACTTCGTAAGGGAGAGGTCCGTGGTTTATAGGCTATCAGCCTCACGTCAGCGATAAAAATAATTTTTATCGGGTTCATAAAGCCTACAGGTGTACTTTTAGCTCAGGATTCTAATTTCTCGATACGTTGTCACTCTTAAAAATAGCAGCGCAAATCAAGAACCTTGTCACTACACAGTCTCTTGGTTTAAGGCGAAGTGTACGAAGACCTCCGTGCATTATTAATATGACTTTTACGTCAAATTTGTGCAAGGTGTACGACTGCCTCGATGTACGACTGCCTCGATGTACGACTGCCTCGATGTACGACTGCCTCGATGCACTTGGTAGCACTGGTTGTCAATTCGACAAAAAGTCGCGTTAGGACGGTATACCCGGTGAGATGGAGCGCGAACTGATCAGTTACCTGCACCCGGAGCAACTAGACACACCTGTGAAGTATTTATCGATTGTTTGTGCGACTGGGTCAGGACATTCACGGAGAAAGAATCAGAATAAATAACTGCTCGCCTGAATACGCTCACAATCTATTGCACAGCGCTGAAGAGGATCTTTCTAGAACTAAGCGTCAGCAAAAAGCAGTTAGCACCCACTGTGAGGCTGCTAATTTCGAGCGTCGGAATTTTTAGGGGCTGGGACCGGAAAATCGCTATCGTTAAATGACAAAAGTTAAGTTGGTATCGATTTGGTCATGCTCCAGACACGCTTGTAGCATTTGAGCTTATAGATCAAGCGCAAAAACTGCAATGACGTGTTGTATCTCTGGAAAAAGCAGTCCCAGCATGGAAAATTGAAACAATATGTTTTCGCACCGCCAAACGAGGCGTATCGGGTGCAATTCAGGTTTCTGTTCAATTGTCGGAAAGCTGACGGATACTAGCAGAATGTGGCCAGCAATTGCGCAATATTATTGCCACAACGGCGGCAGACCCCCTTTCGAAAGCAGTAACAGTTACTATCTCTGCTTTGAGAAGATATGGCTTGCAATATGACCTTTCACTGCCATCTTTTATGAGGAAGTGATAGGTGTCACGGTATACATAATTCATGCCGCGAGGGCCGGTTGGGCCGAGCAGTTCCATGGAAGTTGCATTATCCTACATCGGTATGACTATCAAACATATGTGTCCTACATACCTCTTCCTCTATCGGCTGAGATGTACGAAGAGTCGGTATCCCATACAAGTTCGTTCAACAAAGCCTTTGTGGGAAAGCGTCGAGTCCTAGTGTTAAACGTAGGGCGTTTCAATGTGAGAGACCTAGATTCTATTGTGCTTCATTAAAGCCGAGCTCAACGGGATCTGGAAATTAAATAGCGACTGTTTCTCAGAAGCTCTGGGCTTGAAGCCACTAAGTGGCGGGACTGCCAGTAGATATGGATATTAACTAGATTTTTCTATTTAATCAAGCTTTTTGATATAGGCGGCTGTGCCGCATATATATATATATAGTTGTAATTTTGAACGGAAGAGTACATTTGCCTTGGATTAAGGTTTTGGGTACTCCATGAGATAGCGGATTGCGAGCCGCTACACTCATACTGGTTTTAGTATAGAACGAAGGTCAATGACCTTAAGTAAGCTTCCTCTAAGCAAAGAGCTAAGACAGCCCCGCTGCACTTGGTAGCAGTTGTAGTCGTTAAGACTGATCCTCTGGAAGGAAGAAGGAATACTCTATTTCCCCAGGGCATGCAGGACGGGCACAATTAGCTAAAATCCCTGCTTGGCTCTGAGGGCGTGCAACACCTTGCTTTGCAAGGACCCGACGCGTAAAGCGCGCGCCTAGAGGCGTTTCGAACTATGATTATGCTCTGCTAGAGCATCTAGAGAAGAAGATGCCGGCATCGACTGCGTCAATGATGCCACCGTCGATGACGGATGACTCCACCCGACCCAGGTTGCTCATGGTGAGCTTTAAGACCTCAGAAAATAAGGATGGAGAGAATCCCATGATCTTGATAAGAGAGGCCGAGATGGCTATGGCATCCGCCATGCCCCAGAGCGAGCAAAATCGCATGGCGCTATCTATCTCCAAGCTCGGGTCAAAGCGCAAAAATGAGCACTGACGTGCGGTACTTTGGTTGAAGCGGCGTCCCCTTCCTGGACGGATCTATGCTGCAGCTTTTGCATATGTTCTTGCCGCCTAACCAGACAAATTTGCGTGTGATCGCGTTTCTTCCCCACTCGACTGGGAAAGAAGGAGTTGGTGGACTTTGTTCGAGAATTGCGTACTTCATTACCGGGATGGCAGCCGATCCTCCGCACTGGCGTGGCCAAAATAGAAGTCTTCTGTGTCCATCCGTCTTCTTTTGTAAGAGCAGTGAATGTGGCATTGAATGTCGAACTCAAATTTCAGTCGACACGAATTGGTTGGAATGCACACCCTCACAGCTCGTCGATTGAACCTATGGTTTAACTTTGCCATCGGCTGTGCACTGCTGCCAGCATACGCAGAGGAGAGAGATCGTGTGATCGCGTTCGAATCTCGCCAGCTTAAGGCTGCGGAGAAAAACTACCTAGTCCACGACAAGGATTTTCTTGCGATGAAGTATGCATTTTTCAAGATCAGGGTGCACCTGCTTGGCTCAAAGTCGTATATGATCTACACAAATCATGCATCGCTACACACTGCAATTTAGTCGCTTCGCCTCTCGCAGAGGATGGCCAGGTGGATCTCCTTCTATGCAGAATACAGCTTCGAGGTGAAGTATAAGCTAGGAAAGCAGAATGCTTTGGCTGATGCGGTGTCACGCAGACCAGATTATGAGCTTGCTCATGTCACGACGGTGGACGTCGTCAGTGACGGATTTGATCCGCGCCGCATTCGCGGGTGATGGTATGTGTGTAGCGCTGCTACAGGCTCTCAGGGATTGCGCGCAAGATTACACCGATTTTCGTTGAATAACGTGTATATAGCACCGATTCCACGAATATGCTGCTAATTGCGGTTCGTCACGATCAAGATCTAAAATACCATATCCTCCATGAGGCCCACGACACCCCACTCGGTGGTCATCTCGGTCTTGAGAAGACATCCAGCTCTGTGAGTTGTCACTGCTGGTGGCCCAATCTGTACAAATGGACGAGCACGCATGTGCGCATATGTAAGACGTGGCGGGAAGTTAAAACTCTATCCGAATGCGGCGGCGCTGCTGGCCACTTTACCGGTAACCTCCGGCTGTTGGCAGTCCATGAGTATGGACTTTGTGTCTGGCCTGCCGAACGATTCGGCGGGCAACACGGGTGTTGTGGGCTGTGTCGACCGTTTGAGCAAGATGGCCCATCTTACGGCAGTGCTCGACACCATCGACGGTTTGAGTACAGCGACGCTGTTTGTGGATCGTGTCTTTCGACAACATGGACCCCCGGAGTCAATTGTCTCTGATAGAGACCCGCGCTTCACTGGGAAATTTTGGTCTCCAATCTTCAGGGTGCTGGGCACCAAGTTGACTATGTCAACAACGGACCATCCGAAGACCGATGGTCGAACTGAGCGAGTAAATCGCGTCGTGAAAACGTTCTACTCAGCGTCTGCGCTAATTCACCGAAGCGCCAGAGCGCTATGTTGCCACTCGTAGAGCTCGCTCTGAATAATGCAATGCACTCATCTACCGGCTACCCGCCGTTCTATGTGAAAGAAGACACGTTCTCACTTCGATGGCTGAAAGCCAAGACATGCAGAAAGAATATGCAGATGGAAGAAGCAGATAGAAGAAGCAGAGTAAAAGTTGGTAACTTTGGGGTCGAAGACCTGGTTTTAAATCTTCTTAAACATGAAGTCTCTGCTGTCTTTAAGACAAAGCTCCGTCCACGCTTTATTGGACCTTTTGTGATTGTATAAAGCGAGGTCTGGCATAATCGTTAGACCTTCCGAGAGAGATGCGCACCCACTCGGTGTTTATATGTGGACCTGCTAATGCCGTACAAAGATCCATCGCAAGTGAACGCGGAAGCGTTGGCGCCGGGGCGGCGCTCAAAGGCGCTAAGCCACCCAGAGGTTGTACCAATAACTCATTTTAAGCACGGAGTGAAATGATCACCGTTTAAAACGGCGCCGGGCAATCGACCGTCGCACGAAGTGACAAATCCTTCTGCTCGACGGCTAGGAGCCGCTCCGACAGAGCGCGATACTCCTCAACGTGAGACAGTCAGTGCTCTCGAGGTCCTCCGCACATCGGTATGCGACCTCGGCAAGATGCTCGGCGGAGTGACGATGACGACGGACTTTGTCCTCCAGAGCTGAAGGACCATCGCGAGTTACCGGACGGCGATCGACCAAATCATCGAGGTCCGCCGCCGATTTCTCTATCGATCGACGTCGTCGCCAGGGTCAAATTCATTTTCTTGTGAGTGGCGGGGATACCCAGACTCGGAGAGCTCGTGGGAGTTTGATAAGCCACTTCGTCATGACTGCATATAGTCGTGGACGCTTATGATCAAAAGAATCATGTCGCTCCGCGTCGTCGTGCGCCCCGTGCTTCTTGGCAGTAGCCCGGGAAGCCGAAGGGCCATGAGCTGAGCTCAAACTATGGCCCTGAGCTGCTGTGGTCGTAGACTCACCCGTATGAGAAACCACAGAGCTTGCAGAAGCGTGATAGATTATTTCATGTGTCGCAGGGCGACAATACGTGGGAAGTCGGCGTGGCACCTTAAAATTGGCAAGCCCAAACTGAAAATGGCGTTCTACACGCACGTCCACTTCTTGGCGGCTCCGCTGTAAGTTAGACAGCGAGGATAGTTTCCGGTGCAACTGCACCCATCGCTCAAAGAGCTCTTCATCATTTGCCAGGGGCGAGCACCACAGGAATCGCCCGCATAGCGGGTA